CAGGAATTAGCTTAGCTGTCTTGGTTTACCGGGATTTTAAAGTATGCAGAAGTAACATTTTGAACCAGAAGAATAAAAACCAGTATTGTGCTTTGGAAAAGGTTTTATGTGCTGCTCAGCCTGTCTCAACCGCTATCTCAAGTTTCCTTCCTGAAATGCAGGGAGCAAGCATTCGTTCTTTTTTCTTTTCTTTTCTTTTTTTTTTTAGATGAGTCTCTCTGTCCTCCAGGCTGGAGGAGAGCAATGACGCGATCTCAGCTCACTGCAACCTCTGCCTCCCGGGTTCAAGCGGATTACAGGCGCCCGCCACTACACCCGGCTAATTTTTGTATTTTTAGTAGAGACGGGGTTTCAACATGTTAGTCAGGCTGGTCTCGAACTCCTGCCAAGCATTCTTGTGATCCGTGTGGTGGTGAGTTAGAAAGACTAAAGCACTTTACCTGAAGTCACTTCGTGTTTTTGCAAGCCAAGGGAAAGCCGTGATTCAACCAGCTTTGACTTGTTCCTCACGTAGATGATAAGCATTCAACAAGGTTTGTCTACAAATGTAATTCTTTAGCATTTTTCTCTTAGTTTTTGATGTCTGTGTTTTTGTTGCCGCACAATATAAAGATCAGTGGAGAAAGTTTGTTTCTAAAAAGTATTGGTGACAAGAAGCCTGATTTTGACTGCATGATGCTCTCTGTACCTAATCCTCTTAAATTGAAACAGCTATTTCTGCATTTCATGACACAGGACTCGCTTTGTGCCCTGGATGAGCTCAGGCTGCCACCAAAGAATGCATGATATCTCATATGAGACTTGCATGAGCACACAAATGTTTTCACACCCCAGAGTGTAGCCGGTGTTTCAGGAAGCTGTCCTTTTGACACCGCATCACCAGGAAAACCCTAGGAGGTTAAAGATATCATAGAGGCAACTTTGGGAATAGCTCTGCAAGTTCAAGGGCACCAGGCCCGTTGCACCATGCTCAGGTGTGGGAACCGGGCTTCAGGGCTGCTCTGTTGATAGTGTAGTTGGCTGTCCTGCCCACGTCATTTCACCTGCTTTAGAGTTGGTCTTCTCACCTATAAAACAAGGAGCTTGGCCTAAAAATTCACAGGGTATGATGTCAAAGTCCCTCCCATCTCAAAGAAGTCATTACTACAACGAGGCGGGCCAGGCAGGTGAAACTTTGAGGAAAAGCTGAAGTCCCAGGAAGGGCAGGAGTCTCAGTAGGAATCCTGGCCGCCTTGTCTTGCAGGATCGGCTGTGAGCCTGGGAAGCCTGGGATCACCTGAGATGCTGTAGAATCGGATGTAATGGGGGAGGGGCTGACAGGAAACAGGATGGCAGTTTAGAAAGCGCTTGGGCTGTGGAGTGTGGTACGGGAAAACCCCAACTTAAAATCCGATTTCTGTCACAGTGAGTCAATCTCCCAGTGATGGTGTCTGGAAATGAGGATAACAATGTCCATCTAGCAAGATTGCTCTGCAAATGCAGTTGGATATGGGAAAGCCCTTAGTGTATAACAAGTGTTTGACAGATGTTTGTTCCCTCCCAGGGCTTGGAGATTTGGTCTGTGGCATGCACATAGTGAGGCTCCTAGGCCTTCAGGGACTGCTGTCCAGTGAGCTGGACTAGCATGGTCCCTGGTGACCCTTCCTTCCAGCGTGGACCTCCTGTTTGGTCCCCGTAAGGGCACAGTGCATTCCTGAGACACACCTGGAGGCTTTGCTGGAGACAGTGCATGTTTGTTTGGTTTGCTTTCAGTGGCAACATCATTGAACTCAGAGGCAGTGGGGCAGCTAACGTCAATGGTGCAGCTCTGACCTTCCTTGGAAAGCTAAGGGCAGACCAAGGGTGAAGGGAGAGGGTGAGGCAGGCACAGTGTGTTTCTGTGTTCCTTCAGCTTTCCTTTTTGATGCTTAGAAGTGCAAGAGAAGGCTTCTCCTTTAATCTCATATCTCCTTTAAGTCTCATAATCTCGAGTCTTAAATGTCAGGGTCAGACTTTGGTTTTCTTACCTTGTGGTGGATAACGTCTCTGGTGCAGACACACCCTGGAAGCATGCCTCCCTTTTAAATGTGGCACGTGCAGTTTTGTTTAGAGATGGTCTGAGTAATGTCTTTTTCAATTTATAAAGAGTTCGTAGATCCCATCACACCGCATAAAGATTGTATCTCAGCTGCAGGGACCAGAGTTTGCCCTGGTGCAGCCTCCTTCCTCAGGTTGCTGGCCCATTCCCAGGGCGTCATGATACTGGCATGAAAATCTCCCATCCACAAGAAGAGCAGATGCTGGCTGCTCCCCATCCCATTCCACCTTGGATGGAAAGACTGACACCTGTATTTAATTTTGCAGCCCTAGCATTCAGCACAGGGCCTGGTACACAGTTGATGTTTACAAACCATTAGCAGAACTGAAGGCTGGAGTGTGCCCCATGGAGCTGCAAGACTCCATCTCAGCCCTGTGCCCCTTCCACATTATTCAGGTCTCAGCCCAAAGGGCACACACCCCACCTCTGCCATGTAGAGGACTCCACCATAATTTTCTATTGATGTCCTTCTCAGGATGCATCCTAACCTCATATGATCTGCTCATGAGAGAGTTCACTTGTTTACTATCTCCCCTTTCCCACTAGAATGCAAGCTGTGCCCTGTAGCGCAAGAGACATTTTCCATCTTTTTAGCTGCTTTTCCCCAGTGCTTAGAACAGTACCTAGTCCAAAGTATGCACTCAATGATTATTTCCTGAATTTGTTGGGTGGTTTATGATGATCATTGAATAAATAAGTATAACATACAGCAATATGCCCATTTTCTAGAAGTCAGAAATTTGGCAACTTGAATTTTCTGGAAAAGTCTTCAACGTTGGAAGTCTCAAGAAGAAAACTCCTTACACATGAAAGAAGTCTTAAACCAGGTTACCTTGTTTTCAAGTCCAAACTGCATGAGAAGGAGTGAACATGAATAGTGTTGAGGGTAGATCCAGATGCAACAGCTTTCTGACAGAGTGCGGTTCAGAAAACTCAGAAGTAGCTAGGGTTCTGTGAACACAGATGCCAGGCTGGAGCTCCTGCTGCAATGGGGACCGCCAGAATTGGTTTGGAACCCTGCCATGCTGAAGGAGGGGCCACAGGTAGCTCATCTGTGCATATGGGTAAGGCCTGCAGAAGAACAAACTGTTCCTGGACAGGTGCAGGCACTTGGAAGGGCAAGCTTCATTCATCCGGTGCTCATTTAGCTGTTTCTTCATTGTTCAGTGGGTGTTCATTTTGTCAGGAAAAGTAAAAAAATGATGTTGCTTCCAAAGTCCCACATGAATCTATTTTTCTTTTTATGTTACAGTTTTTGCAATACACATAGTTTGAAGAAATCGCTGGAGATAGATCCTGTAGATGACTTCTTGTCTAAAGACAATGGCATTAGAAATACCGCTGTCTTACCAAAAAAGACCCACACACTCCCGTACTGTAAACAAGACTCTGTGTGCCTGGCACAGGCATGGCTGCTCTTATTTTTAACTGCTTTTGTGTGAGAATACAAAGAGAAATATTACGTAAAGAGCAGGATGTTTTGGACATCCACTTCTACTGCATTTATGGCTGCAGATTTCATGAGATTCATCTGCAGGTGTTGAGAGCCTCAGAAATGTGTACCACAGGCATTGGTAATTAGAGCAAAGTTGAAAACTCCACAAGTGATATTGGAGATGCCAGAGGTAATTGTGTGTCCTCTTGGACTGGAATGATGACACCAACTCAGTACAGAGGATTCCATTTATGGAGGTTGGGTTCTAATTGTGTCACCTGGGGCAGTTAGCTCATTTTTTTGGGAGGGTTGGTTTCCACGTCTGTGAATTGGGAAAAGCGATGCACCCTGTGACTCATGTATTACAGTCACACAAGACATCAGGTAGAAGGACTGTGGAACTCTGGGTGCCGCCCGTATGAGGTTATTCATATTTGGAGCTTTGAACTTTTTCTCAGAGCACGCTCTTCTCTCTGACTCAGTGGTCACAACAACCAGTGAGGTGCCCGTGTTTCACCAATGAGGACTCACTTCCAAGGTCAACTTAGTGGGAAGCTGAATATGGAACTGCCATCTCTCAGCTCCTGTTTGAATCCTTCTTCTATTACTCAAAACAACAGGGGCTATAGGTTAAGATTAAAGTGCAGCTCCATAACCGTTCCTTCGAAGAACAGAAGCAGCCAAGAGCCAAGGTGGCTCATTGCCTTAATGACTACTCCGGAGGACAATGTGAGCATTGCTCATTTACTCCAGCCAGGAGGCACAGTGAAGAGTGGAGCATCATGGTGGAGAAACAGGCAGCCTGTGCTGAAACCTTAGCTTCCTCCATCTGTGTGACTCTGGGGCAGTTATATAACCCGCCTGTGACTCAGTTTCCTCATTTGTACTCATAGGGCTCTAGGGAGATTTAAGTTGGATGGCATATACAAGCCACCCAGACCATGCTTGGCACATATAGCAAATAAAACACAGCTAGTTGTTCTGTTAGTATTAAAACTCATCTTATGGGTTAGGAAACTGAGGCTCAGGAAGTAAAATGACTTGCTCAAGGTTCAGCCTAATGCAGCTGGTCTACAGGTTTCTCTCTTAAACACAATACTGGTTTAAACCTCACAACCAAGACTGTAACGCAGGAGGAAACTTCAGAAAGCCTGCTGTTCTCTGCAGAGGACAGAGTTTTGTCCTCTTTTGAGGTAGGACTACCCCTTTAGGGTTCTCCAAGATGAAGGCCAGTGAAATGCTGGGATCATATGAGCAAAACCCCGAGGACTGCCATTTGCAGGAGCTATCATTTATTTTGACATCCATTCTGAAGTTTTCGCATCTTACTCAAGAAATCAGATACAGACCACAAATGAATAGTGCTACTGCGTAACAGGGCAAAGGCTTTCCTTTTTTCCTTTCTAAAAGTCACCAAGATAAAATATTTTTCTTGAAATCATATGCCTGTAATTCTCACTAACTACTTGGCAGAAAGTGACCGTGGTCTGAGGGTGACATTGATTTTTATTTCAACTGATATTTGTGGGGGTTTGGGCCATCACTCTTGCTTTGCGCAGTGTACGCTGACTTCTAGTTCTGGTGAGCTGACTCGATTGCAGGCTCTTCTGCCAAGCTGTTGTGGCAGCTTCATGTTGGCTCCTGCCTTGGTAGCTATGAAGTCAGAGAACACTGTGTGACTGTTGTATTGACACACTCTTTTGGGAGGGGAAAGTGGGGGGCTTATGTGTTAAATTAGGGGTTCTCAACCTTGGCGCTGCTGACATTTGGGACCAGATCCTTCTGAGTTGTGGGATAAGGGTTACCTGTGCACCAGAGGATGTTGAGTAGTATCCCTGGCCTCTACTCACCGGATACCAGTAGCACCCACGCCCCACAGTTGTGACAACCAAAAATGTCTCCAGACATTGCTAAATGTCTCCTGGGGAGGGGGGGAAGTCACTCACAACTAATCACCACTGTGTTAAAAGTCTGGAGTTTTAGGCTTTTCCAGGGTGATCAGAGACATAGAGGATTTTAAGGTCCCAGGCTAGGTAGACATGGAGTAGGATGGGAGGCATTCCTTGATAGGGTTATTTGCATATTAAAACATATCCTGATTACTTGTGTTGGCTATGTTGGCAGCATAGTTCTTCAATTTGTGGCATAGCTGTCCTTATAGAAAAACAAAATGGTTAATTCAGTTTTGGTTTTTGAACGATCTTAAACACCTGGAGGTATGTTGGGCTATGTTTCTCACTGTTTACAAAAACCTGTTACGTGCAAAAACGTCTGATCCTTACCCATACCATCCCCAGTTCTGTAGAAATAAATTCAACAAAAGAGGAGGAGAAGCCTGGAATAGTTGAATACTTTAACCGTCACACCAGGACTGTTGTGTGGGTTTTCTTTTCTTCTGCCCTGGTTTCTCTAAAGCTCAGAATGTGTTTGCAGGGCTGGTCTAGGTCTTCCTTCTTGCCTTTACTGGGCAGAACTAAGATAATAGGAATAAAAAGGGGAAGCAGAACAAAAGGATGGGCAGGTTCTCCCAGGCAGAATTGACAGTCCAGTCCAGCACTCCTGCCACTTCTCCTGGCCCTGCTGCTCCCACTGGGTGTGTGTGTGTATGTTTCTGCGAATAAGTGAATGTGCACGTTTGTCTGCATGTGTGTGTGCACATATGTCCGTGTGTGCTTGTATGTATTCTCATGCTTGTGCATGCATGTGTCTGTGTGGTTTGGACTTGGCATGTTAGTCCCAGGCAGGCCTTGCCATCCAGAAAAGAAGGCAGTTAGGAAACACTTAACTGCTGTGGGGAAGATAGAGTTGCTTTGTGGAGCTTGTTTCAAATGGGTTTTGTTTTGAATCTACAAGTTCATTCAAATTCAATCACAGCAAAATTCACAGATTGTGATGTCATGCGGATTGAAACCAAAAAAGGCTGTATAGAATGCTTTCTGCCAGATTTTACTCATGGCTTCAGGAAACTCCCCCACCCACCAGTCTTTTTTCTTTTTTTCCTTTGCATTGTGAGCCAAGACTTTAGGGTTGTGCCTTACTAAGTCTCACTTCCATTTACAGAGTTTTCTTTTTTAACAGCCCTTGGGCCTATGGCCTGACATCTGTGCTGCGATTTCTCTAAGCTCCTATCACTCTGCTTTGCTTCCACATTAAAAAGAGAATAAATCCTTCTAATTGTAAAGACACCAACATTGTCTAGGGCAGGGGAAGGCATTGGGTAGAGAAGGAATTCATCAATTATGAACCCAGTCCAGCTGTTTATTGTTATTAAGCTAACTGCATGGAGAAGACACCCTCAATCTACGAGGAAGTCCCCTTGGAGGTGGCTCTTACTACTAGGCCCTCCCCATGATGTGACACTCGCATTCCTCTGGCCTCTTTGCAGATGGAAACTTCACTCATGTCATCCCTGTGTGGTGGCTTGGACTCTGGTAGTCCAACACTGTTACGGGATGACTTACGGAAAGGTTATGCCCTGGGTCTGTTTAAGGGAAGGTGTGGGCCTCTGGCTCTTAGGATAAGGAAGGAGCGGGAGCTGGCATGACCTTTCATTCCTGTGTGTCGGGCATGCTGGGGCTGTGGCTGGGAGCACACCAGTATGGCCTCCCTGGACGCAGCCCTCTGTGGACAGTAACTGGACCCTTTTGGTCTGGATTGGATTAGAACTAGGATTATGTTCGATTCCCTGTGGTGAGTCTGTTTCTAGCTAGAGAAGCCTAAACCCATTTTCTCCCAGTGTGATTCTTGAATGATACCAATGTGTAGGAGTGTTAGTTCAAACTGTCAGGCATAGGGAGTAGAATCTCAGTGTTCCCATGAATGAATGAATGAATAAATATAGAAGTGACATAGGAGTCAAATTTACTTAATTTCTTGTCTCAGTCTAGAACACTGATGGGCTGAATTCCTATGAGTGGGGACAAGACCCTCAATCTCCCCATGCCACTCAGGGGCTCCTCGCCTTGTGCCTTGCCTCGAGGTCAGTGGTGGTTCTAGGAGGATCTTGACCTCTCGAGAGTCGTGAATTCCTTCTTCTTGCTGCTGTGGCAGTGTGTTATCTCTTATCACAAAGCTCACTGTTTTGTATGTTTTCATCCATGTCTTCTCCCAACGCTTCCTTTCAGAACGCGAGCTTCTCTAGAGAAGCTATGACCTCCCACGTCTCACATCTGCACCCAGCATGCCGATTTGAAGCTCTCTCAGTAAGTGTGCCACTGAAGTTTTGTTGATAAATAATTAACAAATAAGTGAGAATAAGTCTCTCTGGTGCACAAGCCTTCCTATTCACTCTCAGTGAATTTTTGGTTTGAAAATACAGTGGTGTGGGCCAGGCGTGGTGGCTCACTCCTGTAATCCCAGCACTTTGGGAGCTCTAGGGGGGGTGGATCATGAGGTCAGGAGATTGAGACCATCCTGGCTAACACGGTGAAACCCCGTCTCTACTAAAAATACAAAAAATTAGCCGAGCTTGGAGGCCGGCGCCTGTAGTCCCAGCTACGTGGGAGGCTGAGGCAGGAGAATGGCGTGAACCCGGGAGGCAGAGCTTGCAGTGAGCCGAGATCGTGCCACTGCACTGCAGCCTGGGTGACAGAGTGAGACTCTGTCTCAAAAAAAAAAAAAAAAAAAAAAAAGAAAATGTAGTGGTGTGGCAGACTAGAAACAAGGTCAGAACTCCAGCACAAAATAGACAGGTGAGTACTTTAAGGTTCAAAAAAATTACAGTGGAATAATTATGATATTGTTTAACCTGCACTAATAAGTTTCTTCCCCTCCTCCTTTCTCTCCTCCTTTTCCTCCTTTCTTCTTCTTTCATCTTATTACTGTTTTACAGCTTCTTCCTCTAAACAGACTGTATTCAATCTTTCAGGAACTCAGATTTATTCAATAAATAGTTATAGGGGCTCTGTGCAGCGACTCATGCCTGTAATCTCAGAACTTTGGGAGGCCAAGGCAAGGAGGATCGCTTGAGCCCAGGAGTTTGAGACCAGCCCTGGCAAGGTAGCAAGATCCTACCTATACCAAAAGTACAAAAATTAGCCAGACGTGGTGGTGCATTCCTGTGGTCCCAGCTACTCCAGAGGCTGAGGTGGGAGGATCATTTGAGCCCAGGAGGTCAAGGCTGTAGTGAGCCAAGATCTTACCACTGCTCTCTTGCCTGGGTGACAGAGCGACACCCTGCCTCAAAAAAAAAAAAAAAAAAAAAAAAAAGGGCTATTAGGCACCAATCATGTGTAAGACACCCCGTTAGATGCTCTGTGGGTCACATACCCCCAAAACTTATACAAATGAATTTTTACAAAAGGTACACCGATGACTTAAACATCAAATGAGTACTCACTCGCTCACTCAGGGTCCTACATATCAGTCAGGACATGAGTTTTCTTGGCAGAAAACACTCTCAACTGGGGTGGTGTGAAGAGAGCATAATGAAGGGAATAGTGACCGAGCTGTGACCTGGCTTAGGAAGAGCAGAAGAAATAGTGCAGGACCTGGGGTGCATGGTGGGAGGTGCAGGTTCCTGCCGGAGCTGCACTGCCCATGGAAAGCCGAGGACAGGGGGCAGCCGAGGGGAGTTGGGGGTGGCCCCAGAGCACCAGGCAGAGTGGGCAAGGCTGAGTGGTGGACATGAGGGGCCCTTTGGTAAAGATGGTAGTGGTGACTGGCCTGAAAACACACACTTGCCAAGACGGTCCTGCCCCTGGAGCCCTGGAAGGTGGAGGAAGGTGGCAGATGGCAGGTGGCAAGTGGAGTCCTCTCTAAAAAGTAGAGCACCAGGTCTCAGTTGCTGCTTGAACTTCAGAGTGCAGAAAGGAGAAGCAGCTAGGGGTTCCTGAGTTTTGATTTGAATAAGACCCGATAAATAGACCATTACCCTAAAGTTAACAAATGGAGGATATGAAAGAATGAAGAGAGTTCCAGGGGAAAGACAGGGAGTTTGGTTTTAGCACTTCTGAATTGGAAGTGTGGTGGGACATCTGATGGGCACCAAAACTGGGGAATGGACCAAGTGCTGGGGATCAGCCAGTCATTGACCTCACTGGGGGTGGACGGGGTCTCACTGGGGACAAGGGGCATCCCTGCGGAAACTTGTCCTCTGCAGAGGACTGTAGATTTGATTTTGAGTTTGAGGTTTGGTTAGAATTTACTCTGGTAGAGAGCAGGACAGAGTTTAAACCTCCTTTAGAAGCCAAGATCTTTAGGACTGGCTTCCCAGGCTGGGTTTTGGAGAGTCCACAGCAGGCAGGGGCCAGGGAGGCTCCCGAGGGTGAAGGTGGCTGAGGATGGAGGTCGTGGTAGAAGAGGAGGTTAGCACCAGTTGTGGAGGTTTCCAAGGTTAATGCATGTGAACTTTTTCACACAAGGCAAAAGTGAGGGACCACAGGGACAGCAAGGTTTTGAACAGAAAACTTACACTATACTGTGAGGATGTTTGATGGGCACTGTGATTGTCTGCTGAGTGGGCTGGGATGGGCTGCTGGCTGTCTGGTTCACTGTTTGTCTGCAGAGCAGGGTGACGACACCAGTGCTCTGTTACAGAAAATAGAATACAAACCGTGCAAGAAAGGAATGAGTTAAGGAATGAGCCTATGGGCCTCTGTAATGAGAGAGTGATGCTATCTTTGGTAGAAATTGGAGAGTCAAGGGGGCTGAGTTAAGGGAAGGTGTGGCCCTCTGGCCCTTAGGGTGAGGAAGGAAGATCATGCATTTCCTTGTCAATGTACCAAATTTGAAATGATGATGTGAAGTTCAAGGGGAGATGTCTAGTTACAGCTGGAAGAACGCACCAAAAACTTGAGAAAAATGTCAAGGCTATAGCTTCAAATTTCAAAGTCAGTCATATTAGTGTAGAGACATTGCCGAAGAATACAATCTGCAGAGACAACTGCAAACGGCAAGGTCTCAGCTGCAGGGTTCGCCCACAGTCAGGTGGGAGGCGAGATGGTGCGCTCGCACAGAGAAGCAACCAGTCACTGAGAGGAGCAGGAACAGGCTTGCCAGCAAAAGAACAACACTACTTTTGACCAGTTCTGAAGAGACACAACTAATCTGCTGTAGACCTGCCACTGGTAAAACGTGCCCAGGCTGTGGGCAATGCAAATCGGTAGGTCAGGGACCCAGTTCATGAAGATTTTCCATTTAGTCTCTGATGATAACTTTTCCACGAACAGACTTCAAAAGCTGTATGTTATGAAGGTAAAAGTCATTGGCAGATAAGGAATTCTTGCTGTGCTCATTTCTATCTCAGAAAAAGGCCCAGATTTAAGTAAGTCCCTCTCTGGACTTTGGAGATACAGACACCGGCCTGAAGAGTTGGGCTCGGGGAATAGAGTGTGCTCTTGTTGGTTCTGTGAGAATCTTCATCTCTTGTCTGATTTAATGTTATTTTAAAGTAGTGTTTGTGGTTTAATCATTTTTTGAGATCTTGCTACTAGATTTTTAAAATCTGTTGTTAGAAGCCAGGATAATTTGCTCATATAATTGTTTTTGAAACAGATCTTATGCAAGACATTTTGTCCTGGTGAAGCTGAGCTGTGCATCTGCTGAGCTATGGGCAGACACTAAGAAGGACCCCAGCTGATTAGCAAAGTTGTGCCATTGCCAGGAATTGGATCTGAGGCACATGTGGCCATCCTCATGACTCAGAGGAGGTGGGGACTGAAATCACTGTGGGCTGAAGAGGCCTGGCTGGAAGCTGGCCTGCATGCTGCTGAGATAAGCAGTTCTCTCCCAGCCAGCAACATATGCCTCCCTGTCCCCAGGGAGTGGGCCCCAGCTTCCTCTCCCCCCCTCCGCTTCCCCCCACCCTCCCACTCCCCCACTCCCCCACTCCCCCACTCCCTGGGGGCCCTGAGCTATCACAGCCCTTCCCTGGGAGAAGCCTTGCCCAGCCCGGGTTTTGGCCTGCAACTAACACATTGCGTACACCATTATCTCTTCACTTAAGTCCTGGAAGGGGTCAATAAAGTTACTCAAGAAGGACTGGGAGGCTCAGCCAGATCCATTTCAGATTGTGATGTTACAAGTTCTTGGACTCTTGACTCTGGCAAAAAGTAGAAACAAACAAAAAAAGATTTCGATCATCAGAATTACTGTAAAATTAAAAACCGTTTTCAGCAACCATGGCCACAGGCCGCTTGAAGCCCGTGACTGGTAGGAACTTGGGATTGTAAAAAAAATAGTTCCTGTCTTCTCCCTTTTATTACAACTCAGCCAGCAACGACTGTGTAGGCGGCTGGTGATCAGAAATAAATGTCTGACTTGGATTTTGCACAGTTGGGTCTCGCTTCAAAGCACACTGCCTGCCCACTGACCCAGCTCGAGTTTTTACAGGGACAGCAACTAGGTGTCGTTTGGGAACTGACAGGGCCGCTCCGGAGCTGCGCCTGGGAGCTTGCTGCTTTGCAGGTCTCTGCTGATCAGAAGGCCGCCAGCTGTCCTGCTTCCCGCGCTATTCCCGGAACACCACAGAAACGCATCTCGTTTCTTTTGCTTTTTTTTTTTTTTTTCCCGGGCTATTTTATTCTTCTTTGATTCCTTCTCCTCCCTCCTTTTTTCTCTTTCTTTTGTTTTTACAGTCCCCTGTAATGACTAATTGGCAGTGTTTCCCAGCTTTTTTATGTTTCTCTTGCTCTGGTTACAAGTCGTACTAACGCAGTAATACCCACAGGGACCTATAGACAGCCAACATTTCCAAATGATATACAGCATTCCCCTTTCTTTCAAAGTGTAAAACATTTACAAGGAAATGTACAAATGTATTAGGAACATTTCCCGGGTCGGTCATTAGCGCGCGCCCTCCCCGCGCCCAGGGTGCCCCCGCCCGGCGCCTCCGCGGTCCCCTCCCGCGCGCACCTTTCCGAGTGCCAGTGGGGCGGCCCCAAGACCGCAATTGCTCTGGCCGGGATTGACGAGCCTCCGATGCCCATTTACTGCGCGCGGCAGCCACTCTGGAGCCGCGGCACATCTGGATGGAGTCAGCTGCCGAGCGCCAGGGGCCAGCGCGGCCCAGCCAGCGGAGCGCGGCGGCGAGCGCTAGGGAGGCCGGCGCCCGGGCCGCCTCCGCGGCCGACCCCCTGTCCCCACCCGGGCAGGATTTCCTGATGTAAACACAGCGGCTCTGCGAGAACAGAGCCGCTCTCCTGAATGTGTCATTTAGTGTTCTTTATCTGCTTGGGGTCAGAACAGCGACTTAGAAAAACAGCAGTCTTGCTTTGAATTTAAACAGCGAAAAAGCCAGAGGGTCCTGTTCCTTATGGGGGGAGGGAGAGGCCTGGAAACCTAGCTCTTGCTTTCTTGTTTATTTGTTCCACTTTATGGTAATTTGGGGGCTAATTTCATTATCTACAGCCAAATTGGAAACAAGATGCTGTTTATGTGAATGGTGCTAAAGGCATGTGAGAGTTTCTGTGCAGTAGGTTGAAAGTGCCAGCGGCTGCACCAGTGCCGGGCAGGCCCTCGCCCTGGTGCAAAGAGCTCAGACAGTGACTTTCCCAGGGGGAAGCGACTGCCCCGCTGGTGGCAGAAAGAGCATCGCTTTCTGTCATTGAGTACCAGCCAGGAACGTGCTTCCTTCCTAGGTACCCAGAAAGGTTCTGCTCTTGGGGGCTGAAGGGACAGGTTTCCTACCCCAGACGGTGGGATGTGTTTCCTCTCCTATTTTTAAAGGAATGGGAACAGCTCCTCCGCTGTGTCTGGCGGCAGGCTGGTCCCTTTCTCCATTTAGCTGTGCGGGTGGGCTTTCCTCTTTCTATGACAGGGAATGGGATCTTAAGGATTTGTGGTTCTGAAGGTTCATTAAAGTAGAAGTCAGCCAATGATAAAGCATGATAAAGTCATTTTGAAATAGATGGTAGAGAGGGAAAATACAAAATGATGGCAGAGTTTGTGTTGTCATCACCAATAATTAAAATGAAATGTAGATGTGTTTCCAGTTCAGTCACAAACCATTTAAACCGTCGCGTCTAGAAAATTTCAACTGGCGGCGTCATCCTCAGATACTGGCAGAGCTTCCCTAACCCTCAAGTAGGGACGAGGTTTGCAAAAGTCTTTAAATGGAAATCAGGAGGCCATGTGTGCATATCTGAGGGTAGAATTTGGCCAATATGCAGGATATGAACAGGCTTGGGAGAAGCTCTGGGCTGCTGGTATAAGATTTCAGTAGTGCAGCTTCATGGAGAAATTTGTCACAATGTTTTCAG